AAAAAAAAAAAAAAAAAAAAGCATTTGTTTTCAATTTTCTGAGAAGTGTGTGGGCTTCTCCTTGTACATAGTCAGGATTTGCAGCCACCGAGCTGTTGAGCCTGTTGTAGTCCCATGTTTGCCATCCCCACCGAGCAGAACCCGCTGCCTCATTTCCAAGGTTACCCTAACTCTGAATACCAGAAGGATCCTTCCGCGGCAGAAGCCTGAGACTTTCAGCAAATTCCATGGATGTTCTTCGGTCACACCAGTGGTTAATGATTACCATCCAAATAACCAGGGACTAGGTTATCCTTGAATGATTTTGACAGCTTAAGTGAACTGACACAAGCAGCATTCTGAACTCCTTACTTAGCTCAGTCAGCGGCCTCCTATAGTGACAATTCTCTCTCATCCACGCATCTCCATCAAATCCAGAACGTCCTTGTTTCACCTCTTCCTATGTAAGGCTTTTTTGTTGCTGTTTTTTGGTACAGGATAATCCAGGCAGCCACTAAACAAATCCTCCATAATTCACCTGAATATTGCCTTGGTTCTCACTGGGGAGAAGGCAGCAATCACCATGGCGGAAGAGCATTCATGAGAGCCTTCCAGACCTCCCCTGGCCTCCTGAAGGAAAACCTGGCAGTTTCCACAGTTCTACAGATCATAAGCTAAAGGGGGGATAAGCATTCCCCCTCAGGAATGATCAGGGTTGGAAGGGCTGAATGTCAGCTCCTCTGCACACACAATATTTTCTTCTGCAGCACTGCTAATCTTTTTTTTTTTTCTGACAAAAATGCATACTTGAATTATTTTGTAAAGAGGAAATAAACTGTGATTCACATAAACAAGTCTTGCACTCTTATGAGGTTTATTCAAAAGAAATCTGGAGGAAATGAGGGGAAATGAGGAGAATTAACGCCTTTTTTTTTTTTTTTTTGGATAGAGACCAGACTTTGTCCGCCTGGCGTCTCTTGGTTTAATTCTTGTCTAGCCCACCTCATTTTACGCCACACGGCCCAGGGCCAATCTCACTGTCCTTGACGCTATGCCGTAGCTGCCTGATGCGGTGCATAAATCCCCGCACACTGCACGGTGCTCCTGCCGCCGCCACTAGCGCGACCGGCCCGTGTTTACACGGGAATGCGCTCTTGGGCCCACAGTTGCATCGTCCTGCGGCTTCGATCCTGCCAGCGCTCCTTAAAACATTTCTGAACGCCCAAGGGGCAGTAGCTGCAATCCTGGGCAAACCCTCGGAGCCAAACGACGGGTCAGTTATGGGCAGGGCAAAGTACGCATGGAGAGGAGGGTTGAGCAAAGGTGCTTTTTCTTCTTCTTCTTTTTTTATCTCTCTTTTTTTTTATCTCTGTTATCTCTTATTGTTACAAAACTTACGAAACGAAACAAGTCAAACCTTGCCAATGCATCCCATTTCGGGGCATTTTTTCAAGGTAAAATAAATTACTATCTTTTAAAAAGCAATATATATATATATATATAATGAATAAATAAAATAGATAAATGAAAAGTATGATCAATCTTATTTTGAAATGTTAGTAATGTGTCAATAATGAAATGATCTTCATTTATTACATTGCCAGACTAAATACTAATGTCTCCTTTAGAGTTCAAAAATTTAATCTGCTAAGAAAAGAAAGTATTCCACTTCTGAAACTGACGAGTTTTGTTTATTGTTTTAAATAGAAGTGTTTCTGCAAAGAAGGTAGGAAAATCAGCATTCATAATTATACCAATCATATAATACATTTCTTATTTAATTAAAATTTTTGATACATGGTATTAAAAACATACAAAGCATCCCATCAAGAAAAGTATTTTGGAACATAATTATAGCTTTACCGACATTTGGAATTCTTAAAATTGTGAAATTCAAGCTGATGTAGAACACCCACACACATCTTTTATTACACATTTTAAGTGATAAAAAGGGAATTATATAATGCTTTGTTCCAGTGTTAGTTTCATTTTAATTAATTTACAAGGTTCTTTCTTATTCTAGTTTATCTCCAAGTCCTATCTATACACAGTGGGAAATCCACTCAGTAAGTGAAAAATGTATCCAAAATATTGTCATTATGACCTGATAACTAACGGGCACTTTGTACAGCTGATGTGACCCTATAGTCCAAAGAAGAGTCAGATTTTGGCCTGAGTCAAAACTGAAGCAGGGAATGAAGAATTGATTCACAAAGCAACTAACTCACCTGTGTTGCAAGAAATGAGTTGATACAGAAGCCTATGTCTGTGTTCCCAGGCAAGGTCCAACAGATGAAGATCAAGGAAGGCAAGAGGGAGTAAAGCTCTCACACCTTCTGCTGCTTAGCCCACTCCCTGCACAAGGAAATTTTCTCTTGTTCTTTCCCAGCCCTGGTTTCTATAGCACTGGAGCGACTGCGCCAAGTTCCAGAAGAGCGAGCTGGAGCACAAGTTCAACAGGAGGGCCCTGGAGCGGCCCTACACCTCGCCACACTCCTGGGGCAGAACGTACGGCGAGCACAAGCGGCACCTGGAGTTCAGCCACGAGCAATACCGGGAGCTGAAGCGCTACGCCGCGGAGGTCGGCATCTTCTTCACTGCCTCGGGCATGGACGAGGTAGGCGAGCGGTCGCGCCGCGTGTCCCCCCGCGCAGAGCAAACCCCCAGGTTGTGAGCGAGGCCCCCACGCGTGCTGGTGACACAGCAGGATGTCCCCAGAGCCAGTGCCGCTCCCTTGGCTTTCCCAGCTGCTCAGGGCTCTTCCTGCTCCTATACCAGAGATGCACCGAGTTTTCAAGGAATCAGGTCTCCTAACGGGAGTGCCGTAGCCCGCCCTGTGTCATCACTGCCTTCCTGGAGGAGAGCCGAGTGTGTTTGCTGCCTTCTGTCTTGGTGCCTCTTAATAGAATGTGCGTCCAAGGCGCGAGAAGTCAAATCAGCACGGTGTGGAGACAGGAAAATTGAATGAGGGAAGATGTGTTACTGCGTTAGATGCTATCTCTGATGTCTGGGCGCTGAGTAAATTTAAAAGCTACAAGGAAGGAGCTGAAAAAGTGTGTGGGGGTTTGTTTGTCAGTTTGTTTGTTTTCCGCTGGGTTTTGTTTCTGTTTTGGTTGGTTTTGGAGGGTTCTGGGGCCGGATCAGGATTTCACTGCTTTCTTGGTGTGTGTGGAGAGAGGTGAGCTGTTGTGCTGCTGCCGTTCTCCTTCACGGCCTTCTTTTTTTTCTCTCCAGTGGCCTTTTAGGAATAAAAATCATATATATGCTACATTTCTGTATATTATGTTTCACCAGAATCATTAAATTGATTGCATGAATAATCTCTTATAACTCGTGAATTGTCTTAAGTGTAGCATGGATGTTTTTTAGATGGGGGAGGGGTATTTAAGCAATATTTGGAAAATCTATTTCACCTTCGCAACCTCTGTTTTTCCAGTGCCGTGTTTTTGAAGCAGATCCATGTCCGTTTGCCTTTTTGGGTGCCGCTGCTGGAGACAGGCTGGAAGCTACAAGCCCTCAGAACAGAGCGTCTGATTAGTCTGACTTGTTTGTTTTGTTTCAGGCTTTGGTTCTGTGGCAGTATGTTTTGAGGAATATGTATATATTTTATCACCTTGTGCATTTAATAGGTTTTGGTTTTGCTCTTGTGCGTTCGTGTGCATGTTTTAGAAGGGTGGTTCCTGTTAGTCCCTCCAAGATGGACTGGTATGTTAAAATTCAGTGATTTTGGTTTCCCTTTTTTGCAGATGGCTGTGGAATTCCTACATGAACTGGATGTTCCATTCTTCAAAGTAGGGTCAGGAGACACAAACAATTTTCCGTACCTGGAAAAGACCGCCAAGAAGGGTAAGCCTTTTCTTTCGGGCAGC